ACCAATTAAATTAATCAACTTTAATTTTTTAATAACTAAAAATTAAAATTCTGAAAAATATTATTAACCATATATATGTATATTTAATATATCCACTTATTTAATATAAAAATTAATTTCTTAGTCTTATCCATACAATTAAATTTAAATAGAAATTAATAAACTATTAAAAAACTAAATGACCTTTATTTTTTCAACTAATAAAATTTAAGTTTTAAATATTACATTCTTACTATATTTATTTATATTCTTATATATACTAATATATATAATTTTTTATTTTATCCAATAAAATTTTAAATTTAAATAAGAAATTAATATGAACAGTTAAAATGATTACGTGCTTTCAGTGACAAATAGATTTAGTTAAAAAACGTAGCTGGATTTGTAATCCATATTATGAAGCAAGATAGTTCGAAATAAGAATATTCAAACTTATACTAATAAAATTAGGAAAGAATATTAGAAAATTTCTTGTGCAAAAGAATAGTTAACACTTTATGCAATAGCATAGCATAGCTTTTATTAATTATAATAAAGTAACTATTAATGATATTCTTCAAAATAGGTAATCTGTTGTTCAAAATAGGTAATCTGTTATTATAAAATTAGAAAAGGATATTTAAAAATGTCCAATAAGATAGTTAATAACTTATGCAATAACATAGCTTTTATCAATCATAATAATAAAGTATTATTAATTTTGATATTCTTCAAAATAGGTAATTTATTTTTATAATAAACTAGTCAATTTCTTGTACAATAACATAGCTTTTATTAATTACTAGTATTTTTTTAATGTGTTTTGCACATTATTTATATCCGTTGTAGTTGCTCGTTGCATCTACCATTTAAAAAGGGAAATTTATAAACATATCCCATGTTATGTCAAAATTAACTACTCTGTTTTTATATTTTTAAAATACATCACTTTGTCCCTCTATTTTGATCTCGTCAAACTATTTTGTCATTCTGTCAATATTTTTTACTTTTTTTGTTAAATTTAAAAGACAAGATTGAAATACTCTTTGTCTTCTTTTCCCTTCGTATTTGTTCTCTCCTTCTCTTTCTCCTTCCCCCTCTGTCGTCGAACAACCCTGAGATTCTAGAGATAATGATTGCGGAATTGGCGGTTACCGAGGGGTTTTGTTAGAGTTTCCGACGGGGTATGGCTCTGTGGCTGCGCAAATGGAGTCATATTTTGACTCGACTGGATAGTTGTGGTAAGAGCAGAAACTTGCCAAAAAACTTGCTGGATTCTTCATCAATTAAATTACTGATTTTAAAAATGAAAATGTAAATTAAAATGCTTGCTTAAGCACTTGTATATTTTTAATAATTTTCTCAAATTCCTCCATTCCTTTTATTTCGTTTTAGCCAGATGTATATACATCACTGAGTTCATAGAAAAAGCAAATTTAATAGGGAGGTAAGGTTATTTGTGTCCTTTAATAAAACTTTAACCAAAAAATAGAAAATATTGACAGAAGGATAGAATAGTTGGATGAAATCAAAATATAGGCAAAGTAGTATATTTTAAAAAAATATGGAGAAAGAATAATTAATTTTGGCATAATATAATTAAGGACACATTTATAATTTTTTGTCTTTTAAAAATAATCCTTATCTTCATTCAAACCTTCTAGTTAATTTTTTTTATTAATGTGTACAAGGGAGAACAAATTTGCATGGAATTATTTAGTTATAAATTTGATTTAACTTTTTTATATAATATGTATATTAAACATCATGCTCATAAACTTCTCACAAAAATTATTGAATTATAATATTAAAAACATTAATAAAATAACAAAAATAAAAATTAATTTATATAAATAATTTAATCCTTCAAGTGATTAGCAATGTAAATATTCAGTAAAATACCCATAAAATGGAAACTTTCATTTAATTATAATAACAATATTGAAAAACAAATAGGCAGAGGGAGAGAGATTAGATAAAAATGTCAAACTCAAATCTTTTGAAGAAAAGAAAAAAACAGATACAAGAATTCAAATCCACGGTAAACAATTACCAAAATCTCCATATTTCATCTTCAAAAGTGATATACAATTGCAACTTTTTGCAAGTTATGAAATAGTTCGAATTAAAAGTTAATAACTTAAGAATAAAGAAAAATTAATCAACAATGATAAGCGGAGGAACCTTCAACATACTCTTGATAACGAAATCAAGAATTGTTAACAGCGAAATCAATAAACTCTTGTTAGGCAAAGAAAATAGAGTTTATTTAACAGGCAAAGCAGAAAAAAAAAAAGAATTGAATTTTAATTTATATATGAATATCTTGGGCATTAAAATTTAACATATGGTGTCAAAATTTATTTATATAAATTGAAATTCTAATGTGAATTGCATATTTGGTTGAATTTAAATTTATGGATAATTTATGTTAATAGTAAAATTGTTAAACACGCAGTGAAGATAAGTTGATTTTTGATTTATTTACCATGTTGGCACATGAGAAGAAACGACAAAGTCTCGTATAGGGAGATTGGAGGGATTGTGAATTTGAGTTTAGGAATAAAGATATCGTATCTATTATGTATTATAATAATAATTATTATTATCTTATAATTAGATGCAAAATAAATAATTTAACTAGTACTCGTGCTAATCTAGTTAATACAATATTTTAGGAATCAGTAAATCAAGTGATAAAAGCATTAAAAGGAAATATATGGAAAATTTTCATTTTCTTATCATGGAAATCACCAAATCATTAAACAAACCAATTCCCTTTTCTAAATAATCAGCACATTTAAAGGGCAATCTATTAAATAAATCATCAATTATCTCATCCCCAAAATGATTTGCTAGCATGGACTCTGTTATGGCCTTGATGCAGTTTGCTACGTGCTTTCCTCTCTTCCACTTATCAAACACCAAATCATTGTTACCATCTCCAATATTAGCATCCCAACTTAGCTCAAGTTCTTCTAGTCTTTTAATGGTGAATGAACCTTCCCTTTCAATCACATGCCTTTCTTCTTCTCCAGAAGGAGAATACAATGGAATATTGGATGAATCTAGTGCTGATTCTTTAATTAGTCCCTACAAATAATAAACCTAAACTTAATTAGTATTGTTTTCAGAAGGCCTAATGACAAAAAAAAAAAAAAAATGCATGAACTTTGATTTTTTTATCAATTTTAACCAGTTCTTTTAATTTTATCAATCAATATCGCATGCTTAATTTTCTGTATAAATTGTAGCTTCCGTTTGTTTTCCGTTAATTTCATGCTAATGTGGCAGTTATCTCTCACAAGTGGGTTCTACAACATCTAATATCAGTGTCAAGTCATATATCCACGTACAAAATGCACGCGGGATTAAAAAAAAAAAAAAACAGAAAGAGACAGACATAATGTTATATTTAATCTAATAAATATATAATTAAGTTGCATCACTACATTAATTAAAGTAAAACTACAGCCAAATGTAAGGAACAAAGAAAAGTTAATTTTCTAAAACATTACAAAGAGATGGACTATTTATTTTCACTTCCCCATAAAAACTTGAATTCGCATTGTACTAATAATTTGTAAGCTAATCATAATATTTATTTTCAATATTGGCGCTGTACTCAAGTTATTGTATATTCCAACAAACCTGAGAGTCATATTTTTAACCTAACCTATAAAAATCTATACCCTCAACTTTTCGATTTATCATAGAATCACTTTAAAATAACCTTTGTATTTCGGGTATCTCAATTTTAAAACTTACATATATTAATACTTTAAAATGATATTAGAGTTAGAGATGTGAATAAAATAATAATATAATGAGACCCGCCTCATAACTTTAGTTAACTTAGTGAAGGACTTAAACATGCCATTTTAATTACCTCCATGTACCTAGCTAGCCTTTTCCTTTCTCAACTTCTTCTCTTTCCCTAAAATTGAACCCTAAAAGTTTAAGCAAATAAGGCACTTCACAAAGCCACAAATTGTGCCCTAAGAAAACAATTAAATCAAAAACAATAAAACTAAATTAGAAGAAGACTAACTGACTTGAAGAATGACAATGATAGTAGACCGAAGGAGAAAGACGAGAGAGAGCCCGACAAGATAACCCTAGTAATGCACAGAGAAGAACAAATTAATTTGTCAAGAGATAGACAAAATACACTGGACTAAAAAACACTGGCTATTTAATTTACCAACATAATTTTTTATCGATAAATAAAAAAACTTTATTGGTAAATTTATAGTTTTAGGATTGATAAATTAAGCATATAATAGACTAAATTTTGTTTGATATTTATTCGATAACTATGTTTATCAACAGACCTTCTGTCAGTATATTTATCAGTATTTTTTGTTCATAATTTTGTCGATCATATCTACCGGTATTTAATAATTTTTTTAAGTGAAAAGATCATAATTTGTATCTAAACAAAAGGTATTCATATACTTTCTAAAATATTCAAAATAAATTGCATTCTTACTTGGCAATAATCTTGGTATCTTTAATACCAAAACGGTAGCATTGGATTTTATAATCAGCACTAATAGAAATTATAAATTAAATTAAATTCTTAAGAAATTACATAAATTTGTACTAATTGAAAATTAATTTATAAAATTAAATTAGCAAATTAAAATTAAAATAATTAGCACCGCGATGAATGATAAAATGCTAAGATCGACGAGTAGTTTTGTACGTGAAATAATATCAAACCATTTATAGTTAACAAATGATTAAATTTTATATTTTTAGATAAATTAAACATATTAATAAGTGTAAATAAATAAGAAATCCTTTTAAAATGTGCAATTTTTGCGCATTCTTTATTATCATTATCCTTACAAACCCTGCGAATTCAAAACCATGACCAAATCATAAAAAAGTAAGAAAATTTATGAGAAAACCTTCACAGTTTACCCTTCACAATAACATTCGAGGAAAGAAAAATAAGAACAATATTTGAAGCAGCAACCACAATATCAGTTGTACAATACAAACAATACCTTTGAGATGGAACATTTTTATTTCCTAACCATTGAAATGACCAAATTATTAAACAAAGCAATCCCCTTTTCTAAATAGTCAACATACTTGAAGGACAATCTATTAAATAAATAATCCATAATTTCATTTCCAAAATGACTTGCTAGCATGGATTCTGTTACGGCCCTTATGTAGTTTGCTACGTACTTCCCTCTCTCCCATTTATCAAACACCAAATCATTGTTACCATCTTCAATATTAGCATCCCAACTTAGCTCGAATTCTTCCAGCCTTTTAATGGTGAAGGAACCTTCCCTTTCAATCAAATGCCTTACTTCTTCCGGAGAAGGAGAATAAAATGGGATATTGAAGGAGTCTAATGCTGATTCTTCAATTAGTCCCTACAGATAACTTTTTTTTTTTTTTTTTTGACTTGGCCATTAAGCTAAAATACAAAATATCAGTCTGCAACTGCAAGCAAGTGACATTGCTGATTAGAGGTGATTCTAGCCGTTTAATATAAAATTCAAAATCTGCTTGGAATCACCGCTTAGAACCGAAAGTTTGAACGTCGGTTCCAACTATCAGTTCTAACCAGTTGAAAAAACCATTGGTTTCGGACGGCTCCAGACGGTTTTCGGAACCATCAGTTCACGATTCTAAACATGGTGGAACCAAAATCGAACTATAGGCTACCGATTCGAACCGATTTTGGTTCCCACCGGTTCAGAACCAACAATTCTGGTTCCGAAAACCGTAATATGGCTCTATTGAGACGTACCTCTTGAAGCATATCATAAAGTGACATTCCTAATAATTGGTAAATTTCACAACCATATTTGTAACAAGGATTCTTGTTACTCTTTCCAAGGAAGGTTAGGACCATATTGCCTCTTGTAACCATCTCTGTTGGGCATCAGCTCTGATACCACTCATTGGGCCCTTTCAACCAATTAAGAGAAAATTAACGCAGCGGAATAATAAACTTGTGACACACAGAAATTTAGTCGGACAAACTCCGAATCATTCTTCACTATTAACACATAGTAGGGTACAAGAGAGTAATTACAATAGTGGCACACAAGGTTTCCCAAAAACACCGCCAAAATAACCTCACTTATTTTTTCTTCTCCCACGGTTTAGGATACCCTCCTAAATGCTACACACTCTCTCGTACATTTTTCTTTTCTGCTGTTGTGCAAAAAACTGAGGAAATCCTCTCACTATTTATATAGGAGCAGGGAATGGGCAGAATTGAGAAGAGCCGTTGCATACCATGCACGACACATCCTTTTGTCAAATGGCAACTGCACTTTTGGAATGGTTGGCTGCCACCTTTGAACAGACAAATACACGCTTTTCTTTTTTTTTTTTTTTTTTCAACTGTGTGGGTCCCACTTGAGTGGGCACGACAACAAATCTCCTGCAACACTCAAAGTGGGGACGTTAGCCATCACTTCATCATCCCTGCAGTAACTTATTAGATCTGTCACCATTGTACTGCCGTACAACCTGTCGGGACACGGCGAGCTTCCTCTTGTGGGAAGACTTTCGAACAAGGCACCGACCTGAGATCTTTTTCTGATCTTGGTTCTATGTTACACACACTCTTTGCAAGCTTTGTAATTCTGCTGCACGACACGGCTCCCCTGAAATGTGATTGATATGAAAATCCATTTCACTGCAGTCCAATATTCTTTCCAGCGATAATCTATTAGATCTGCCATCTTGTACCGCCGCTACAACTCTGCGGGACACGCCGCCCGACTTCCTCTTGTCGGGAAGACTTTCGACACAAGGCACCACCTGCAGATCTTTTTTTCCGGTCTTGGTCTTGTTGTTACACTTTAGTAATTTTGACTGCCACAACACGGCTCCCCCTGTAAATGCTGGCCCACTCTTCTCTGAGTCGCTGGCCACCGTGTTATGTCTGTCATCCACCTCTGTAAACACTTGCCCACTCTATTCTGAGTCGCTGGCAACTATGTTATGTCTGTTGTCCACCTCTGCAAACACTGGCCCACTCTGCTCTGAGTCGCTGGCAACTGTGTTTTGTTTGTCGTCCAACTTTGCAAAAACTGGCCCACTCTACTCTGAGTTGCTGGCCACTGTGGACTGTCTATTGTCCACTTTGATTTGTGCAGAATATCATCACCAACATAAACCGTATATGTGAACAGGAGTATACGTGAATAGTGACCATGAATAGTAACAGTATACACGAATAGTAACTATATGCCTGAATAGTAACTGTACACGTGAATAGTACTATGCGTGAATAGTTCTGGGCTTAACAGTGACGGACTCAGCAATAGTAACGCCAATAGTAACTAACTATTTTACTATTCATCACTAAGTCGATTCTGCAACGTCTTTCCGAGCGGACAGCACCAATGGACTCGTCGTAATTTTCTCTTCGTCGTGGTATATTCGTGGTATATTTCCAAAAACATCTTTCAAAAATATCCACGGATCCGGTACCGCTATCTGACGGCTGGGCCCTACGGGAAACCTTCGGCTCTGATACCACTTGTTGGGCATTCAGCTCTTGATACCACTCATTGGGGCCCTTTCAACCAATTAAGAGAAAAATTAACGCAGCGAAATAATAAACTTGTGACGCACAGAATTTACGTGGGTTCAACCCTCAACTATTTAGGGCTACGGTCCCGGGGACAAACTCCCGAATCATTCTTCCACTATTAAACACATAGTTAGTACACAAAGAGGAGTAATACAAAAAAATATGGCCACACAAGGTCCCAAAAACACCCCAAAATAACCTCATCTATTTTTCTTTCTTCCCCACGGTTTAGGATACCCATCCTAAAACGCTAACACTTCTCTCGCCTACATTTTCTCTTTCTGCTGTTGTGCATAACTGGAGGAACATCCTCTTTCCTATTTTATAGGAGAGGAATGGGAGAATTTGGAGAGCCGTGCATTTACCAATGCAACGGCACTCCTTTGTCAAATGCATGCCAACCTTTGAATGGTTGCTGCCAACCTTTGGAAAAACAACATACGCGTCTTTTTCTCTTTTTTTTTTTTTTCCTTTTTCAAAACTATTGTGGGTCCCACTTGAGGTTGGGCACCGGCACAACAATCTCTTACTGCACGTGATTCCTTTAAAAATGTTGTAAAGTTGGCTGCCAACCTTTGAAAAAACAAATACGCGTTTTTCTCTTTTTTTTTTTTTTCCTTTTCAAACTATGTGGGTCCCACTTGAGTGGGCACCGCACAACAATCTCTACTGCACGTGATCCTAAAAATGTTGTAAAGTCCTCTTCGAATTGCTGCACATATGCTTTTTGTACAGTTAGAGAGCCTGTTTTTGCTATGCAAATATTGCTTTTGTTTAATGGATTCCCACTTTCACTCATAAGTCCTTTAGGTACGTGTGGTTTTTATAAAAACAATATTTTAGAATTCTAAGTTAATTATTATTTTCTAAAAATTTACTATTGTACTAAAAAATATCTAAATTTGAGTGTATTTTTTTTCTTAGTATTGGAGGAATTGAGAAATCGAATCTGGATATTTTCTCAGGTCGTATATTTATTTATTACTAAGTTATGCATTAGTGTGCAATTTGACTACCAATTTTAATTGCACTTATTTTATCAAAATTAAAATGAAAAATACCCATATTTTTTAAAAATTGAGGAATAATGAAACATTACGATGGATTTGAATTTAACAAAAAAAATGACTGAAAAAAAATTTTTTAGATTTAATATGTTATTTTCCATTATAATTTAATGATATATAATTTAAAGGTTCGATCAGTTGGAAAAAAAAATTAAAGGGATAGCTCCGAAACCTAAAATAAACGAAAGGTATGGAGATACTCTTGAAAACTGAAGAGTCAAATTAGAGTATAATAGGTTATTTTGCAAAAACTCAGTCAAAATAAAACTCAGTTGCCCAAAAATTGGGTTCTCTAACGAGAGTAAAGGAAGTGATTTAATACCAAATTAAACTGGCCGGACCTGAGAAAGCCAGTGGACGCTGTAGGAAGAATGAACAAAGTGCAAAGAACGTAGAGGAAATAGCCTTCCGTAGAAACTGCCTGCCATTGCTGCGATAAAACAAGCCTCAAACTTGCTTCCTTTCTCTTTCTTCAGCTTCTGTTCAAAAATAGGCACAATAGACCTGAAAATGGTGTTAAAATCATTTCCTGGAATATCATTTAAGAAAACCTGCAAACTGGGTGGTTTTTTATTCAATTTACTACAAGTAGAGTCTATTGTTTCTATAACTCCCCAAAGTGGCAATAGTGTATTTGGTCCTGAAGAGCATCCCATTTCTGCCATTGTTATACACTCTGGCAAGCTTTTGCTACATAGCTCTGCTATGCTTTCTTCTAATATTGGCTTGGCTGTCAATATGCCTTTCTTCTGCATCAAAGAGGAACAAGTTAGTTTCTTGCTAGAAAAAAGTAAATTTATAAAATTTATAATTAGAAAAGGAGAGAGAGAGAGAGAGAGAGAGAGAGAGAGAGAGACTTGATATGATGAGTTATTGTAGTAGCTGATTTCTCCTTCTCCTCCATTCATGTGAAGAACTTGCGAAACATCCATGGCGGCCTATCGGGTATAATTAACTAGATCAATATACAAGGCTATTCTGGGTGGCTTTATATGTCGTTCATATACCTATATTTATAGGCTAACATTTTCCTTTTGTAGTAAAGTTCCAATTTGTGTTTGGACTGAACTGATGGTTAAAAAATTCAACTTGTTAAATCAAGTATATTGTTAAACTCAGACTTACAATCGTCCAAACAATTCCTTTTGAGTGATAAGTAAATCAAGTATATGATTAAGATAACGACATTGTTAAGAAGTAATTAATAGAAGAAGTATAAAGTCTTACCTAATTATGTTTGATTAATGTATTTGTATCTTGTTTATATGTCAATTTCCAATTGTATTAATAATTAGTATTCTTAATTCAATTGATAATTGTCATCTACTTTTCTCTTTTTTTTTTTTTTTCATTGGGAGGCCTGATGAGCTGAAAAAATATTATGGATTACACAAAATGCTCACTTGTTGTAGAGATAACTCGAACTCAAAATCTCTCATCCCTCGTATGAGTGAGAAGACTATAGTTAATTGGGAATTGTCATCTACTTGTAACAATAATAAATCTATAATGACATTTTTGTCCATCCAATTATTATTTGTTTTCATTTTTATATATTATAATAATAGATTATTATAGGCATAAAATTCAACTTAAAAATAACTTTTAATTAATATTATCAATATAGTTTTTTCCAACGATAATTGAACGCTAATTACTCTCTTAAGTCCACATATTTAAGATTTTTTTTTTTTGTGGTAGGGCCTAATATTACTGTATATACACACATTATTCAACCATCACCACATTCAGTCTACACGTATCTATAAATGCTGTAGCCAAATCTTTATCTTCTTTTTTTCCCCCTTGAAGTTCACAATTTATCGTAACTGAATGGAAAATTACTATTTCATCCTTATCATTTCTTGAAATTACTGTTGAGTCCTTGACTTTTGAACATTTTATGAAGACATCCTTGTGGTTTAGAATCATCTAGCAATTTATTTATTATATTATTATGGGCATGTTCAGCAAGATTAGTTGTTTTAGTAGTTGTTAGCTGTTTAATAAGTGTTAGCTATTAGATATTAGTTGTTCGTTGTTAGCTGTTAGATATTAGCTGTTCATATAGCTATTTAGAGCAAAAGTATTCGAAAAAAAATAAATGTTTCATTAGCTGTTGAATTTAAAATGATAAAACATGACATTTGAATATTGAGTTAGAATTTTAAAATATAACTATAGAAGTGAACTCAATATAATAAAAAAATAATTGATTATGTGATGTGTTATTAATTTTTTATTAAAAGAATGACAATCTATAGTGTATAGTCCAGCTATATAAAAGGAGGTATCGTTGCAGTATCGTAGCAACCAAGTTTTGAATAGTTTAATTGCTTCTTGATATCTAGCTAACTGAGCAAGGGATTCACGCGGCAATTGAAATAATAAAAAGAATTTTAAATTAAGGGCAAGACTATCAATAAATTTTCAAAAAAAAAAAATGTAAAACATTAAATGTTAGGCGGGATAACATTTCGCTATGTTATTCATTGAAAGTTGTTTTATAAGTTACTTCACCGAACGTTGTAATACATTAAAACAATGTTTTGACGTAGTCAAAACTCTAAACACTCCCTCAAACGCTCTTGCCGAACAGAACTTATATATACTAAGCCGCATGGTAAATTAATAACATGATTTTCCCTTTCAGCCGAACAGAACTTATAGTATACTAAGCCGCATGGTAAATTTAATGGTAAATTAATAACATGATTTTCCCTTTCAGCCCCTTATATATTTTTTTAATTACAATAATACTTTTTCATTTTAGTCCTTTAATAATTTCTCATTCAACCCCTTACATTTTTCTAATTACAATATTGCTTTTTTATTTTAGTCCTTTAATATCTTTGTATTTATAGAGATTTCATTTTGCTGCTAATTGATAATTCTAACTTTACGGCTTCATTTTTAATTATGGTATTTTCCACATAGTAGTGTTTTTTCACTTATACCCTTTGTTATTTTGTAATTCATTTATACTCTTTTTTTTTTTTAATAGTATAAAAATATAATAAAACCCATTTTGATTGAACTGCCAGAACAGTATTTTGTCATTTTGCCCTTTGATATCTCTTTGATTACGTTTATACTTTTTTTTTTTTTTTTTTTTTTTTTTTGAATAATTGCGTAAAAGATAAGAAACCCATTTTCATTGACATGGTTCCTTTGATTGGTGGTGGTGGTGTTGTTTTAGCTTTGCGTTTCATTAGCTTATTTACAACAACCATAAAATAGAATGGTACTTACATTTCGATGAATTTTTATTAAGTTATTTACAAACATAGTAATGAAATTCTTAATTAAACATTTCACATTCCTTATATTTTTCAATTGCTTACATTTTTTATTACATTATATTGGGCGATGTTTATCAACGGTAGCCCATACCTTCTACTTTTTCATTGCATTACATTTTTTATTACATTATATTGCCGATGTTTATCAACGGTAGCCCATACCTTCTACTTTCTATTATCGCTTTCGCTTCAACTTCTTTTACTTTTAAATCTTCTTTTGTTATAATAAACCCAGATTTGTTTTTCCTATAATATATTTATCTTTTTTGTTTTATTGTTGTTAGTTGTCTCCATATTTGGAGTGTTTTTGTTCGTTCTTTGTGAGGGTAGTCCCTTATTTATGAGGGTTTATTATTAAATAAACTATGATATTTGATTTTAGTTTATTGGAGACTTCAGATCTTAATTTGCAGGTATAGATCTTCAATCGATGAAGTCTGATATTGCGGCTTGTTCCTCATTGATGCTATTGACACATAGCGGGGAAAACTCATCTGTATTCGTCATATGTTGCAAATTATTGGAAAAAAAAATTCAATTTTAAAAGATCCAGATGAGTTATTATTTTGATGTCCAATTCAATTAACAGACTAGTTGCTGTTATGAAAACTTATATCTTTTGTTAAAATCACCTCCAAACAGAAAGATCGAATATTTTATTGTTTTAGTTTTAATTTCATTATTTAAAATGATATAGATTCTTTTGTTCCATTTAAAAGGATATGAATTCTTTTGTTTTGTTAGAAGATTGGCAAACTCTATTAGCTTATTTGTAAAATATAAGTTTTATGTCTGGTCTATATGCTTATTTATAATTCTTGATATTATTATTAATGAATTACATTTAAAAAAAAAAAATCTTTGTTGTCATAATAAAACATTAGCCTAAATATATCTTCGTTTTAGATTAGATTGGATGGAAGGTCCGTTTTATTTTGGCTAAAATAGTAAAATGGTTTAGACGTGTGCTCTTTTAGACTTTTAAGGCTATGTTTCGTATGATGTAATCAATCATGTAATAGAATAAGAATTACATTATATGATTGATTAAATTGTTTAGTTAGACTTTTTTTAATCTTGTAATGTAATTAAGATTATATATGCAATTAAGAACAACCACCACCACTCTACCATCACCATCACTACTCCACCACCACCGCTGCCACCACTGTCGTCACTCCACCACAACACCACCACTACTCTATCACCACCACCTCAACTGCTCTACCACACCACCACTCTACCACCACATAATGAAAATTATATTTTAGTGTTTAATATGCAACACTCAATAAAAAAATATATTTTATTCTTTTATTTTATTATTGGAATGGGAAGAATATAATGCAAAAACACTAAAAATATCAAAATGCCTATAATTTTATATTGTAATTTAACTTATTCAATGAAAGTATATGAAAAAAATTAATTTCTAATGATTTTAACTTTTATTTTATGGTTATAATTATATTTCCTTCAAGTTACCTTCTTTTAATTTTTTTAGTTCAAATAAATTTATAAACCTAAATGGTTTTTAATAGCTTAATATAGCGAATAACTTTTGATTTTTGGTTCAAATATTTCTTTTGTATTAATAATGATGCGGTGGAGGTGGAGTGATGATGGTGGAGTGGTGGTTATAGTGGTGGTGGTGGTAGAATGGTAGGTGGTGGTGGTGTGATTGGTAGTGGTATGCTAATTATATTATATATTTTCAAATAAATATAAAAAAGGAATGGTGATTGCATTCTATAAAATTTTCTCCGTTACATTAACAAATATGATAATGAAATCTTGATTACATTCCATTACTTTACATTTTGCATTGGATACATTTCTGATTATATTATATTGCATTATATCAAACCAAACATACTCTTTAGTAAAGTATACATAGAAATAGAAAAAGCTACATAATGAATTAATTATCAAATATAACAAAAATTGTCAATCAATCTTTATTTTATTGATTTCCATTCTTCATAAGTATGTTAACTGTGGAAGGCTTTAAGTTGAATTATTTTCCTATCACAATTTCACGAACTTAAAAGTATTATCTATAATCTATAATAGTAATAATCAATAGTATAAATACATGTGGAAATTGGAGGAATTATAGGATTTTTAATAGTACCCCTAATGAAATTTAAATATCCTAAAATAACTTTAGTTATAGTCAATTAAAAAATTATATCTTATTAATTAATTGAATAGAATTTATTAAAAATATTTTTTAAATCAATACATATAAATAATTAAATATTTCAAAATTTTGTGTTTTGTCATAAAATTCAGCCGTACCACAAGGTTTAAAATTGCAAATACATAACTCAACAATATTTAATGGAGCCTTTTCTTTGTGGGATCCTCATTCAATAGGCAGAAAAAAAACAAAGAAAAGAAAGAATATTAAAGAGTAGCCCATATCCTAAAGTTCAAAATTATTCGATACATGCACCCTCATCCCTTCTCAATTATGCAACCATCAAACGCCAACCGACACAAAAAAAAAACGTGCAAATTGTAGATGTGATATAGATGTGCCTTTCTTATAGATGTCATATATCCCATACTAATATTAATACTAATAACCTGCATATTATAACCCACATCCTCTCTTAATTCAATCTTTTTTTTTTTTTTTTTTGGAACATCAAGAATTTTAAATTTTACCCTAATTCAAAGTTTTAATTTTCTATATTTCAA